GGATTCGTAGTGTTGGATTCTAGAATTAGTCACTGACTGCTTCCTTTTCCCATTCTGCCATATTCTCTCAAAAGTGATTTCATCTGCTTTCTTGGTTTCAACTACAACCTGTATATAGTAAAGATTCCTAATATAAATTTCCAACACAGAGTTTTCTCTTGAACTTCAAATTTTATCCTATGTAAACCACAACAGCTCCCACGATGTCCCAGGGATACCTCAAACTTACTATGTTCAAATCTAACATCATCTTCCACCAAATATTTTCATCTGTCTTTATTTCCCTCAATTCCTTTTTTTTTTTTTTTTGACAAAGTCTCACTCTGTCACCTAGCCTGGAGTGCAGTGGTGTGATCTTGGCTCACTGCAAACCTCTGCCTCCTGGGTTCAACTGATTCTCATGCCCCAGCCTCCTGAGTAGCCTAGGATACAGGTGCCTGCCACCATGCCTGGCTAACTTTTGTATTTTTGGGTTTCACCATGTTGGCCAGGGTGGTCTCAAACTCCTGACCTCAGGTGATCCACCTGCCTTGGCCTCCCAAAGTGCTGGGATTACAGGCGTGAGCTACCACGCTCGGCTAGTTCCCTCAATTCTTTCAATTCTTTGTCCCTTATCCATGGGGAATGAAGGGAGAAATATCAGTTGAGAGGGTGGAGTCAGAAGGTTGGCCTTCCCTTGCTCTGGCATCCTTAAAGTTTTTTTGGCCAGGCAAGGTGGCTCATACCTGTAATCCCAGCACTTTGGGAGGCTGAGGCGGGTGGATCACCTGAGGTCAGGAGTTTGAGACCAGCCTGGGCAACATGGTGAAACCCTGTCTCTACTAAAATTACAAAAATTAGTCAGGCATTGTGGGATGCACCTGTAATCCCAGCTACTCAGGAGGCTGAGGCAGGAGAATAGCTTGAACCCGGAAGGTGGAGGTTGCAGTGAGCTGAGACTATACCACTGCACTCTAGCCTGGGTGACAGAGTGAGACCCTGTCTCAAAAAAAAAAAAAAAAAATTGATGAGAGGGGAGAATGGGACCCGCAAAAAAGATGGAAAAGAGATGGAGATCAGAGGAGAGCCAGAAGAGGGTTGTGAAATTCAAAGGAGTAAAGTGAAATAGGGCTAGGTGAGGTGGCTCATGCCTGTAATCCCAGAACTTTGGGAGGCTGAGAAGGGCAGATCACCGGAGGTCAAGAGTTCAAGACCAGCCTGGACAACATAGTGAAACCCCATCTCTTCCAAAACTACAAAAACTTAGCCAGGCATAGTGGCACACATTGGTGGTCCAGCTACTTGGGAGGCTGAGGATGGAGGATCTCTTGAACTCAGGGGGTGGAGTTGCAGTGAGCCAAGGTCACACCACTGTACTCCAGCCTGGGCAACAGAGTGAGACCCCATCTCAAAAAATAAAAACCAACAACAACATAAAAAAACAAAGGAGTGAGATAGGAGGCAGGATTGGACTCTGGAGGTGGAACTCAGACACCACAAAAAATTGTAGACTAGCTAAAACAGGTCTGGGGTGGAAGCAACTTGCCATAAGATACACCCACAAGTGTGCATTGTCAGTTTACCATTGCCATGGCAACACTGCCCCTTTCCACAGCAGCAACCCAACGACACGCAAGTTACCACCCTCATCCTAGAAATTTATAATATAAACTGCCCCTCCATTTGCATATAATTAAAAGTTGGTATAAATATGAATGCAGAACTGCCTCTGAGCTGCTACTCTGGGCACACTGCTTATGGGGTAGCCCTGCTCTGTAAGGAGCAGTATCTCTGCTGCTGCTGTATGCTGCTGCTTCAATAAAAGTTGCTGTGTAAGCCAGGTGTGGTGGCTCATTCCTGTAATCCCAGCACTCTGGGAGGCTGAGGCAGGTGGATCACCTGAGGTCAGGAGTTTGAGACCAGCCTGGGCAACATGGTGAAACCCTGTCTCTACTAAAATTACAAAAATTAGTCAGGCATTGTGGGATGCACCTGTAATCCCAGCTACTCAGGAGGCTGAGGCAGGAGAATAGCTTGAACCCGGAAGGTGGAGGTTGCAGTGAGCTGAGATCACGCCACTGCACTCCAACCTGGGCAACAGAATGAGTGAGACTCTGTCTCAAAAAAAAATTTTTTTTAAAGACAGGGTCTTGCTATGTTGTCCAGGCTGGGCTCAAGCAATCCTCTTGCCTCAGCCTCCTATATAGTTGGGACTACAGGTGTGGGCCACTGCCACTATGCCCAGCTTTCGTTTTTCTTGTTTTTTGTTTTTGGTTTTTTAGAGGTAGGACCTTGCTCTGTCACTGAGGCTGAAGTGCAGTGGCATAACTGATCATAATTCACTGCAGTCTTCATCTCCTGGGCTCAGAGATCCTACTGCCTCAGCCTCCTGAATGATTAGGAGTACAGCCACTCCCCACAACACATGGCTAATTTATCTTTTTTTCTCTTTCTCTAGAGATGTGGTCTCACTATGTTTCCCAGACTGCAGTAATAAATCAAAAATTTGAGTCCTGGTAATTGTTTTTTGTTTTGTTTTGTTTTGTTTTAGACAGAGTTTTGCTCCTGTTGTGCAGGCTGGAGTGCAGTGGCATGACCTTGGCTCACTGTAACCTCCGCCTCCCAGGTTCAAGTGATTCTCATGCCTCAGCCTCCCTAGTAGCTGAGATAACAGGCGCCTGCCACCACACCCAGCTAATTTTTGTATTTTTAGTAGAGATGGAGTTTCACCATCTTGGCCAGGTTGGTTTCGAACTCCTGACCTCATGTGATCGACCACTTCGGCCTCCCATAGTGCTGGGATTATAGGCGTGAGCCACCGTGCCCGGCCCCTTGTTGGGTTACTTAATAAACCAACCCTAGGTCTGCTCAGACTTCCTGTTATGTAAGATAATAAAATTCCTTGGCCGGGCTCAGTGGTTCACGCCTGTAATCCCAGCACTTTGGGAGGCCAAGGCGGGTGGATCACGAGGTCAGGAGATCAAGACCATCCTGGCTAACACAGTGAAACCCTGTCTCTAGTAAAAATACAAAAAGAAATTAGCCGAGCGTGGTGGTGGGCGCCTGTTGTCCCAGCTACTCAGGAGGCTGAGGCAGGAGAATGGCGTGAACCCAGGAGGTGAAGGTTGCAGTGAGCCGAGATCGTGCCACTGCACTCCAGCCAGGGTGACACAGCGAGACTCTGTCTCAGAAATAAATAAAAAAATAAAATTAAAATAAAATTCCCTGACTGCTTAAACTACTTTTGGTTGCAGTTTCTTGGTACAGGTGAAACATCCCAACTGGCATAAGGATTGAAAGGAAATTTTGTTATAGGTATTTTTGAGAAAGACGAGAGTACAATGGAAGACAAGAGAGGGCCTCATGGGGTCTCCTTTAGGGCAGTGTTACTCAAAGTGTGGTTCATGGACCGGCAGCATCATAATTATCCTGGTATTTGTTAGGAATGCAAATTACCAAGGGCTTCATCCTAGACTGGTCAACTCAGATTCTCTGGCGGTGGGACTGGGACTCTGTTTGTTTTTTTATTTTTACTTTTTAAGATTACATAGTATTTTACATATTTATGGGGTATCTGTGATATTTTGTTACGTGCACAGGATGTGTAATGATCAAGTCAGAGCATTAGTGGTATCCATCACTTTGGGAATTTACCCATGTTTTGGAAACAATTCAACTCCTCTCTTCTAGATTTTTGTTATTGTTGTTGTTGAAACAGGGTCTCTGTCACCTAGGCTCTGGAATGCAGTGGTGCAATCACAGCTCACTGCAGCTTCGACCTCTGTGGCTCCAGCGATCCTCCTTGCTTTAGCCTCCGAGTAGCTGGGACCACAGATGTGAACCACCACACTCTGCTATATATATATATATTTATTTTACTTTTTGTAGAGGTAGGGTCTAACTATGTTGTCCAGGCTGGTCTCAAACTCCTGGGCTCAAGTTATCCTCCCACCCTGGCTTCGCAAAGTGCCTTCCAGCTATTTTGAAATATACAATCCATTGTTGTTAATTATAGTCACTACTCTGCTTTTGAACCATAGAACATAAACCTTTTTATCTAACTGTATGTCCTTCATTAAACTAAATCTCTTCATTTCTCACCCAACCATTCCCAGCCTCTGGTTTCTTTCTACTCTCTAAATTTATGAGATCGATTGTTTTTTAGCTGCCACAGATGAGAACATGCAATATTTATGTCTTTCTGTGCCTGGCTTATTTCACTTAACATAATGACGTCCATCAACGTTGCGGCAAATGACAGTGATTTCATTCCTTTTCATCTGTGCTTAAACAAGGTCTCCCTCCAGGGATTTTGATGCAACTGAAGTTGGAGAAATCACAGACCTAGGACACTCCTACAGCTGTCTAATCTAGGACTCAGTTTTCTTTTCTGTCACTACACAGTGAGAAGGAGATGAGGAACTGGGTGTGAAAACGGTTTGAAAAGGAGAAGCATGGTTGTGGTGCACGCCTGTGATCCCAGCACTTTGGGAGGCTGATGAGGGAGGATAGCTTGAGGCAAGGAGTTTGAGACCAGCCTGGGCAACATGACAAGACCCCATTTCTTAGAAGAAAAAAAAAATTTTTTTTTTGAGACGGAATTTTGCTCTTGCTGCTCAGGCTGGAGTGCAGTGGCCGTGATCTCGACCCACTGCAATCTCCATCTCCTGGGTTCAAGCGATTCTCCTGCCTCAGCCTCCCCACTAGCTGGGATTACAAGTGTGTCACCACGCCTGGCTAATTTTGTATTTTTAGTAGAGATGAGCTTTAACCATGTTGGCCAGGCTGGTCTCAGCCTGCTGACCAGAGGTGATCCGCCAGCATCGCCTACCAAAGAGCCGGGATTACAGGCGTGAGCCACTGGGCCGGCCAAAATGTAAAAAAATCAGCTGAGTGTGGTGGAGCGAGCCTGTGGTCCCAGGTACTCGGGAGGCTGGGGCGGGAGGATCGCTTGAGCCCAGGGTTTGCAATGAGCTATGGTGGCGCCACTGCACTTCAGCCCGGGCAAGAGCGAGACCCTGTCTTTAAAAAAAGAGAGAAAATGGCTTGAACGGGCTAAGAACCTTGATCCCCAGGAGAGTCCCTGCGCTGACCGAACCTCTGGGGCTGGACTCCGCCTCCCAGCCCAGGAGCATCTTGCGGAAGGGCCTATCTCCATCTCTATGTCACGGTGGAAAAACGGTAACGGTGGGGAGTCACTGTCATTATTCACTGAACTCAAGTGCTCCGATTTGGGGTCTTCTCGTTCGGATTCCTGCGTCAGTGAGTGGGGAAGGACTGGACACCCGGGCGGTGCCCTGCGGCTCCGGGCGGAGCCAGCCGCGGTCGCGGGGCGCAGCCACCTCAGCCCCCCTCCCGCCACATCCTCCAGGAAAGGGTGCTCAGGCCTTCCATTGAGGAGACAAGGACCCGCTGCCCTGGGGACAGACACTCGAGTAAGTCGTGAGCCCTTGTGTAAAGCGATCAGGGATCTACCCTGACGTGGGCGGGATCCGTCCTCACCGCACAAGCGGAGGCGCAGTTATGAGAGCGTAGCGGCCCACCACCGCCGGGTCTCCCGGGGAGGGCGCGCCCGCTGGCGAGAGAACCAATCAGAGCACGGCAGGCTCGCAGGCCTCCCCCCAGGGACCACTCAGGCGCAGGCCGCTGGCGCTGCCTGCTCTTCGACTGGGCGAGCTTCCTGCCAGTCATGGCGGAATCAGAGCGGCGTCGGCCAGTAGCGGGAGGCGGTGGCGTCAGGCCAGCGGCTGGGCGCAAGCGGGTCGGCGTTGACTGAGCCGCCGCCTTCCCGCCTGCGCACTGCCTCTCGGCCCCCTCAGGCCCGCCCGCAGCCGGCCGCGTCATGCCAGGCGCTGCTAGGCGGTAGGGAGTGCCCGGGGCCGCCGCCTCCGCCCGCCCGCCCCAAGCCGCGCCCACTGCCCAGAGCCAGAGGGATGGTGGTAGTCACGGGGCGGGAGCCAGACAGCCGTCGCCAGGACGGTGCCATGTCCAGCTCCGACGCCGAAGACGACTTTCTGGAGCCTGCCACGCCGACGGCCACGCAGGCGGGTCAACGCATTTGCCCCTGGCTGCCACCCAGGAGGTACCCGGCGGGCGCGGCGTGGGGCCGTGGGAGGGCCGCGGGGGAGAAGCGGGACCCGGCCAATAGCTGACCCTTGGCAGGTGGGCGGTGCCGGTTGGGGGGCGGGGCCGGAACTTGCGCCCAACCACCTGCACCTCCGCCACCTCGCTTCCGAACCACCTGCACCCCTCCCCACCCACGTTCAACCCGTCAATTGCACCCACTAGATGTGCTTCCCCATTCCCTACCCCCTCCACCCAGTACTCTCTGGGGTGATTTACTCCCATCCCCATGTCCCACGTTTACTGAAGATAGGAGGGAGGGTGGGCCGTGCGTAGGAGGGGGACCCTGGAGCCCCGAGAGCCGATGGTGTCTGACCAGGCACGGTGGCTCAAGCCTGTAATCCCAACACATTGGGAGGGAGGATCGCTTGAGGGCAGGAGTTGGAGGCCAGCCTGGGCAACATAGCAGGGGTCCCCGCCCTCCCAGCCGGACATCTTGCCGGGAAGGGCCTATCCTCCATCTCTATGTCACGTGGAAAACCGTAACGGTGGGAGTCACTGTCAATTATTCCACTGAACTCAAGTGCCCGATTGGGGGTTTCTCGTTCGGATTTCCTGGCGTCAGTGAGGTGGGGAAGGCTTGACACCGGGGCGGTGCCCTGCGGGCTCCGGCGGAGCAGCCCGCGGTCGCGGGGCGCCAGCCCACCTCAGCACCCCTCCCGCACATCCCCTCCAGAAAGGTGTCCAGGCCTTCATGAGGGAGAAAGGACCCGCTGCCCTGGGGACAGACACTCGAGTAAGTCGTGAGCCCTTGTGTAAAGCCGATCAGGGGATCTACCCTGACGTGGCGGGCATCGTCCTCCACGCAACAAGCGGAAAGGCCCGCAGTTATGAGAGCGTACGGCCCACCACCGCGGGTCTCCCGGGAGGGCGCGCCGCTGGCCGAGAGAACCAATCGAGCACGGCAAGGCTCGGCAGGCCCCCCCCCGAGGGACCACTCCGGCCAGGCCGCTTGGAGCTGCTGCCTCCTTCACTGGGGCGAGCTGCCCTGCCAGTCATGGCGGAATCAAGAGGCGTCGGCCAAGTAGCGGGAGCAGGTGGCGTCGGCCACGGCTTGGGCCGCAAGCGGTTCGGCGTTGACTGAGCGCCGCTTCCTGCCTGCCGCCACTGCCTCTCGGGACCCCCTCAGGCCGCCCCAGCGGCCGCGGTCTGCCCCGCTGCTAAGCGGTAAGGGAGTTGCCCGGGGGCCGCCTCCGCGCGCAAGGCGCCCACTGCCCCAGAGCAGAGGGAATGGTGGTAGTCCACGTGGGCGGGAGCAGACAGCCTCCGCCAGGGACGGGGCCATGGTCCAGCTCGAACCCGAAGACGATTTCTGGAGCCTGCCACGCCCGACGGCCACGCAGGCGGGCACGCATTGCCCCTGGCTGCCCCAGGAGGTACCCGGCGGGCGGCGGCGTGGGGGCCGTGGGGAGGGCGCGGGGGAGAAGCGGGCCCGGCCAGATAGCGACCCTTGCAGGTGGGCGGTGCCCCGGGGTTGGGGGCGGGGCCCGCGGACTTCGCGCCCCCACCACCTGCACTCCGCCACCTACGCCTTCCGACCACCTGCACCTCCACGTTCACCCGTCAATTGCACCCACTAGATGTTGCCCTTTTCCATTCCTGGCCCTCACCCAGTACCTCCTCTTGGGTGTGTTTACTCCATCCCCATGTCACTTACTGAAGATAGGGAGGGAGGGTGGCCCCGTTGCGTAGGAGGGGACCCCTGGGGGCCCGAGAGCCCGATGGTGTCTGACCAGGCCACGGGTGGGCTCAAGCCTGTAATCCCCAACACATTGGGGGAGGGATCGCTTGAGGGGCAGGAGTTGGAGGCCAGCCTGGCAACATAGCAGGGTTCCCGGCCCTACTACGAACTGGAAAACCAAAAAAGGCATTCTTGGGTTGGATGAATTTAGGAAAAAGAAAAAGAAAAAGTGATGGTCTCTAGAGAATCCAACAGGGATGCTTGTAGGTGGTTTGCCCGCCCAGGTTCCTCCAACTGGCCCCAAGAAAAAGGCAAGGAGCTGTCTGCAGATAAGGAGCAGGGCCAGTTCATAGATGTAGCTTACAGTCCCCACTGCATCCCATGGCTTGCCTCAGCAGGCTGGCTGTGCTCTGATGCACTGAGGCTTCCACGGGTCCTTAATGTGTGTGATACTATCATGTCAAGCACCTGAAATGGACAACTCCGAGGAAGGAAAATATACCAGCATGGGTGGGCTCCAATCTGTAATCTCCGAGCACTTTGGTATTGCTGAGGTGGGAGGTTTGCTGGAGGCCAGGAGTTAGGAGACTAGCCAGGGCACA